GACCCCGCTAGTGATTTATCTAGTGGCCCAACTAAATCTGAATGTACTAGCTCTAAGAGTCCAGTTGATCTAGTTTCACTCATTGGGAATTGTTACATGTTTTTCACATCCTGTATAAAATAGGGATTTCTAGATGTACATTATGACATGAGAACTGGAAGATAAAAGGAGCATCGGTTGTTATGTATATTACGATAGTTACAGTGATGTAATAAAATTATTGAGATCCGAATTGGATTTTTATTCTCATGGAAGAATTCATACTACATATACAATAGTTTGGCGACGAGGATTTGAAAAGAAGCACGTTTACGCATCCTGAACTACACCTACAGAGAATTACAGCCATGGCAGAGTTATTAGTACAAACTTCTTTCAACATTGAACCATTTGAACCGAGTACCATGGAGTTTAGAAGATGGTTGCAGCGATTGGAAGGAGCATTCACGGTATTCAAAGTTACCGAGGATTTACGGGTACCATATCTTTTACACTACATTGGTTCCAAATCATTCGAGATAATATGTGATAAAGTCTCACCCGAGGATCCATACCAGAAGTCTTTCAACGAGTTGATTGAGAAAATGGAGCAATTCTATTCACCAAAACCATTAGAAATAGCAGAAAATTTCCGATTCTACCAGAGAAAGCAGCAGAATGGCGAGAGTTTACAAGAATATGCAGCGGCGTTACAAAAGATGAGTATTCACTGTAATTTTGGGAATTACCTGAAAACTGCACTTCGGAATCAATTTGTATTTGGTCTCTCGAGCAGAAGAATTCAAGCGAGACTTCTCGAATCCATTGATTTGAATTTTGACAAGGCTGTCAAAATAGCTACGAGTATGGAGCTGTCAGAGAAAGACGCGATTCAACTACACGGTGGCCCAAATAATTCTCTTGGTTATTTAGGGTCAACTTCAAGAGATTCGAAGCCGACACATCATTTCAAGAACAGCAGAGATTCAACTAATTCTAATAAAATTTCAAATTTTTCCAGAAATTCAAATACTGTTAAATGTTTCAGGTGTGGTGGTGGTCATTTCGCTACAAAATGTAAATTGGATGAAAATATTCAATGTAAAGAATGTGGAGTGAAGGGTCATCTACAGAAGGTTTGTTTTAAGAAGACTACCCATACGAATTCAGTTGAGGAAATACTTAATTCAACCTCAGTAAGTACATCAAATTCAGAATCAGATTAAAATATCATTACACAAATTGAACATCGACAATTCAGAGATAAATATCTTATTGACCTCGATGTAATACAATACAATACAATACAATACAATACAATACAATACAATACAATACAATACAATACAATACAATACAATACAATACAATACAATACAATACAATACAATACAATACAATAAAATAAAATAAAGTACAATACAATACAATACAATACAATACAATACAATACAATACAATACAATACAATACAATACAATACAATACAATATAATACAATACAATACAATACAATACAATAAAATATTGAAATATTCCACATAGTATTCAGAACTTATGTTCAACAGAAGAATCAGGCAACGATTAGATTTCATAATTCCAGATCAAAATGAGTATATATAGATGTGAATAAGGAAAAAGAAATACGATTTCTAAAAGAGGGAGAAAGAGTAGAGTGTAGAAATTATATTGGAGAAAATAAGTGGGAATTTGGAAAAGTAGAGAGATAGCTTGGAAAATTACATTATCAGATTAAACTCGATGATTGTAGATCATGGAAGAGGCATATTAACTAGTTGCGATCAATAGAAACAAAAACTACATGTTTATCTAATGATTCTGATTCTGAGTTTGATTACCATATACCATATCCTGTAGATGATCCTGAAGAAACATCAGAGCCTCTGGAGAATTCAAAAATTAATTCCAATGTCACCACCACACGGAGATCGCAGAGGAATATCAGATTGCCAGTTAAATTAAGAAATGATTTTCAACTTTGAGTTGTTATTGTGGATTTATTTTTAAGGAGGGAAGGTGTTACATGTTTTTCACATCCTGTATAAAATAGGGATTTCTAGATGTACATTATGACATGAGAACTGGAAGATAAAAGGAGCATCGGTTGTTATGTATATTACGATAGTTACAGTGATGTAATAAAATTATTGAGATCCGAATTGGATTTTTATTCTCATGGAAGAATTCATACTACATATACAATAGGAATGACAAACGATGACTTTTACTGACAGCACAAACTTCACAAATAAATTCTTTCGGAATTTTACCAGAAAAATGAATACCGTGAACTAATCCATTTTTCAACTTCATCAAATTGGATGAATTGACATGCGCCATGCGCCTGTGCCACAAAAGTTCTTCTTCAGGAAAATCTGAATGAGCCAATTGAACTGATTGGGAAGCAAGGTCCAACTTGAACAAATTATTTTCTAATGTTGCAGTTGCCAGTATGCTATCATTTGTATCATAAACTCGTGCACCATCAGAATCGAAGACAACTGTATTCCCTCTATCCACAATTTGACTGACTGAGAGAAGGTTCACTCGTAAATCAGGTACATAATAAACATTTCGAACAGTTACATCTGAAGTATTGCCATTCACTGTGACAGGTAACTTTATATCACCAATACTGCTCGTTTGCACGATATTCTCACTGTTCGCGGTGCTAACATTCATTTTTGACGGGGTAGTTTCATCTACAAAAATGTTTTTGTTCTTTGTCATATGCGCGGAACAACCCGAGTCGAAAAACCAATCTGATGTACCCACAGAAATTTGAGTGGAAAGAGCGGTAAACATGCCTTGTTCCTTGTTATCACTGGTGGTGGCATTCCCGGAGAAATGTTTCTTTTCACTTCGGTTGGAGCAGTTTTTTGCAAAATGTCCGTATTTGTTACATTCGTAACAGCGAGGCCCTTTTGATCTGGAACTGGTACCGTTTTTGTCAGAATCGGAACTATTCTTTTTGAACTGGTTTCTCAAATTGCATTGAGCGGAACTGGGTTTCGAAGTAGAATATTTCCGATGTTGAAAACCATACATCGCCTCAACTTTCTGGCCATTTTCCCGTTTAGTTGTTGAAACGTCTTGAAGCAGTTTAGTTTTGATCGCATCGGCGGTAATTTCAATACCGGAGGACTCTATCGCCATGATCATAGGCTGGAAATTATCGGGAAGACCGGCTAATAAAATAGTGCCAACCCACTCGTCAGAAACTTTCAAACCAATGTTTGTAAGTTTATAGGCGGTCGTGATAATCCTATTCACGAAATCCTCAACTGAGTCACAGTTTTCGAGCCTAGTCATAATTAGAGCTCTCAATAAACCAACCCTTCTAATAAGTCCTGAATCCTGGAAGGCAGATTCCAAAGTGTCCCATGCTTCTTTGGCTGTCTTTGTTGATTGTAAATGAACGTAGTTTACTTGATCAACCAGAAGAATAATTTTCGCTCTTGCTTTGACGTCTTTTTTGCAAGGATCAGACTTACAGTCACCTGAAACGCAGTCCCAAAGTTCTTGGTCCAAAAGGTAGGCCTGTACTGCGAATTTCCAAGCGTCATAGTTCTCGCGCCCTTTCAATTTTTCTATTTGCGGGATCTGACTCGACATTTTCGCACACCGGTACAGGAAATACTTAATCGGCTTCAGCAGAATATCCTGGGGCTCATAACCTGTTGTTATTCTATAGTTTTCCTATATAATAGTGGAGATGAAATCAGAATGACTGTTAACTGACATGGACTTGACAATCTATATATTTTTCTTATGACACATATCTACATGGCGTTCATATCTAGATTATTAAGCTAATATAACCAAATATAATAAATAGTCCAACAAGAAACAGGCAACTCCATTTTTTCAAACTTCTTTTTTAGCTTCTACAATGTGAATGAAAACTATTATCTAGGTAAATACAGCTTATCTAACGTAACTCTAAAGGATTCAAATACCATTTAGCATAATTTTTTTCAAGTTTAACAAAAATATTAAGTTTTTTCCCTTTCCCCAACATTTTAAAGAATTGGAGTTGCCCGGTTCTTGCACCGAGGTCTTCAATTCTTTTTGTGAGCTTATAGGTAGGTTCTCTGTCAATCAATGGATATTTTTGTTTAGTGAGTCTACTCTGTCATCCATCAATTCTAGCGGGTGAAATTCTATACAGTGAGGACGTAAAAAGTCCTCCCCCCCCCTTATCTTTTGAACGGAAGAAGCTATCGAGGTCGGGTAAAATTCAGGTAAAAAGGTACTACTTTTACTACTTTTTGACATAAAAATGATTGTGGTCACGTGGCCTAGTGTCAAGAGGGTACCATCAACTTTTTTTTTTTCAAATGTAAAAGGGGGTCACTTGGCACCTGGTTTTGAAGGCCTTCCGATTCTCTATCCAACACCGCTGTGTTTGTGAAAATCGACCAAGCCGTTTCAAACTGACAAGTGTTTGAAATTTGCTTCAAAAATAAATAAGGTAAAAAAAACTGGAACAAAAACCACATTTTAAAATACCAATAATATGCGCACCTGTCTTACCACAAAAAATTGACTCTTCGACCATAATCAGTGACGGAGTTGAAATTCTGCTGCAATTAATAGTTGAAATAATTTCTTTGTGAAATTTTTGAAGCAAATTTCAATAGCTTGTCAGTTTGAAACGGCTTGGTCGATTTTCACAAACACAGCGGTGTTGGATAGAGAATCGGAAGGCCTTCAAAACCAGGTGCCACGTGACCCCCTTTTACATTTGAAAAAAAAAAGTTGATGGTACCCTCTTGACACTAGGCCACGTGACCACAATCATTTTTATGCCAAAAAGTAGTAAAAGTAGTACCTTTTTACCTGAATTTTACCCGACCTCGATAGCTTCTTCCGTTCAAAAGATAAAGGGGGGGGAGGACTTTTTACGTCCTCACTGTATATAACCATATAATCCGATATTACCCCTGCGATCTGATATAGCCTCGGTTGACTGTAACTATTATTAAATTCAATTCCAGGATAAACTGACGATGGCTCCGTTTTTGGAAATATTCGGATACAGTGTACTATTCGTTATTACATCCGCTGTCATGGTATACGGATATTTCATGTATTCGTACCAGTACTGGAAGAAGAAGAAGATGCCATATTTGGAGCCGACCTTCCCGAATGGCAACAATCTGCAGCTGTTTACAAAAACATTCGGCGTCCCTTTGTACGCAATGGATTTTTATAGGCAAATAAAAGACAGAGGGTGGAAATTTGCTGGGATTTATACCGTAGCTCGGCCAGTTCTCGTTATAGTTGATCCCGAATATATGAAGGATATTCTAGTAAAGGTAAGTTATATATATCATACACGAAAAAATTACGCTGCGTCACTGAAGGTTTGGTGTGATCCGAACTTGACTAGAGCTCCTGATTAGTTCATTTGATGAGTGCGTGAAATATTCATTCGGAACCCTAACACAGGTATATCCTAGGTTCGTGTCCCTTTATATATGTCCCAAACTGCACTGTCGGTACAAGAATATTATTGGGACATCCGTGGGATGTCCTGCTTAGTATTCCGACTGGTACATCCCAGGGTTTTCCCATTCATGTCCCTGTTTATCCTGATAACTATTTCAATCAGAATTGATATCCAACTACAAAATATGCATTAAAGATGCATCTTCGTTATTCCTCAATGAGAAAATCACGAGCATGTTATCGTCGATTATTTTTCGGCTCAATATTCATAATGACCTCCCTACAGAGTCATTTATTATTCCATCCAACCAAACTGGATAATCAGTAATTTTCTCACCATTTCATCTATTCCATAAAATTCGTGTTTATCTATATACGTTTCCCTGAAATGTGAAGCTTCATTCGATCGTCTACTTTGGTTCCGTTGCAGTCAAACTTCTCTAATTCCGCTTACATCTCGCCGATGATCGCTACATTATTTTAACTACTAAAACTAACTGTGTTGATAAACTCACATAGAGATGCGAACTAAAGATAGAACAAGTCACCAATTCCCAAAGGGGAAATTGCTTCAGCCACCGAAAGATCACTCATTAGTTTTAACTCAGAGTCATTAGAAGCGAGTGAATTCAAACCCACGAGACAACACGCATCAACATCATCGAAAGCGCCCACTTATAACAAGCCAAAACCATCGATCTCCCCCTTCTCCCTAACTCCGAGATACGGAACCAGGGAACCAGATGAGATGTCAGCACTCCCGGCCATATTTCGAAGCTACTATATGGACGATGAAGTCACTCACGACCAGATAGTAGCAGAGAAACTACAAGCTGCGGCAGAAGACAACTTATTGAACCATGTGGCCAAAATAAACACAGAGAGAATGGACACTTCATCTCCACCGAGAAGGTTAGAGAAATGGCCCAGTGAACAGTTTGGAGCCCCTGCTGATAACACCAGGAGTAAGAAATCGAGGAACCAGGAGAAGTATGGCTTCAAAATCCCAAGGAAGACCACGTAATGGACGGTGGGCTACCAGAAAAGGACGGATACCTTGGTGCGAAACAGATGCGCGGCTCTTCAGTCCGCCGAAGAGCCAATATCTAATAAACCACCACCACCACCACCACCACCCCCTCTTTCGTCCGACCCACCATCGTCAGACGAAGAGGATGCTCCAAAAAGCCGAACTCAGAAGAAAGTTGCGCCAACCAACTCGAAGGCTGAAAATGCGAATTCCCAGCCAGCGCCAAGGAAAAATGAAAAACCCCCGCCCACAATTTTCGATGGCATTCTGAGGAAGGAAGGAAATCATCCCTCTTATTAAATTCCTCACCACAAAGAAATGTTTCTTCGAGTATGGTAACGAAGCACCCTCCTGTACACCGAGACCATCGAAGACTTCGAAAGTGTCAGGAACAAACTGAGAGAAGATGAGGTGGTTTTCTATACATACGCCCTCAAAAAAGACAAAATACACGCATTCGTGCTGAGGGGCCTGGACTTTGAGCCTGAGCCCTCCGAGATCATTGAAGAAATGGAACAAGAGCACAAAATCAAGGTCAAGGAGGTCTACAGGCTTAACACGTGGTATAGGCCTCTCTACCTGGTTGTAGTTGACCCCATTGTTACTCTTCGGCTATTAAGTGATAATGTGAGGACATTTATTGTCAGTCAGGATCATTTGGGAGTTGAGGAGGAACAATCGGACCGTCACTCAGTGTGAACGCCGTCAGCTGTGGGGCCACGCCACCAGCAACTGTAATAGAGATTACAAAATGTTTGAAATGTGCAGGTGGCTACCCCACGGCTGACTGCAAATTACCCAACCAGGAGCCAGCGAAATGCGCGAACTATGGTGAAGCCCATCCGGGTATATAACTACAGTTCGTGCATAAGCTACATGAAGAGACTGGAAGTTATCAATAAGAATGAAAACAAGCGGCCAGGTGGACAGACCTATACCGCAGCCCCGCCCCTCAGCACGAATGCGTGGGAAAGAAGAAGGATGGAAAGAGAGGCCAGGCTTGCAGAACAAAGACAGCAGGAGGATCCCATTGGTGCCCCGGAGCATATTAGGGAGGACAGGCAGCCCATTAGAAGAGGAGCACCTGCACGCCCAGCCACAAGCACGCAGAGAGGACCTGGGGTTGGCAGAGGAATAGAGACGATAACGAGTATCGCCGCAGAGACAGAGCTCCTAGAGCAAAAGGTGCGTGCGGGACCTGAACGACGCGATCGGAGGGGGAACAAACCCTTGGGAGATAGTTGAAATAGTGACTAAGAATATCGGTCACTACAATATTAATGGAACGAATCGGCCTCAAGGTATGTATGATTAACATTAACGGCCTCTATAACAAGATGTTGTCACGTATTGTTATACTTTTGTCAGAGACCAAGCTCCGTCATGACCATGACTTCAGAGTAAGAGGCTTTACCACGATCAGAGCCAAGGCAAACCTCAATTGAACATGCAGGGGTGAGACTGCGGAGTGGAGAGATTATTTTCTCAGTGTACAACAGGCCCAGAAATAAGCTCACCGAACAAGACCTGGAGGCACTGGTTAGTGCTCGCAATAAGGTGATAATCGTTGGCGATTTTAATGCGCGGCATGTGGACTGGGGAAACCAGAACAAGAACAACTACAACGGGTGCACGATGAAGGCATATCAGCAATCCGGCAATGTCAACCTGGACTTCCCTAACACTCCCACGCACTATCCCATCAATGGAATGACACCGACAGTCTTAGACATAGTGCTGTCCAAGAACATGGTGGACATCTCTGAGCTAGAGATTGTGGACGAGCGGAGCTCTGACCATCTGTCAGTTTTATTCGAGTTTGGACAAAAACCTCCTGAAATCATTAAAAAGATATACGATTATAAGAACACAAACTAGCGGATGTTCCGAGTCCAGCTCGACCAAAAAAACTACAATTAAAAACAATATCGAAAAAACTGAGATTATTCAAGAGATGGAAAAGGCTGATTGGAAACATCACGATGGCCAGAGATGCCATCACGCGACTGGTCAGCATTGACTCCAACAAGGACGAACTCCCGGAGGAAGTTCTTGGCTTATAGCAAAAAAGAAGGTCCTGACGCGTCGCTGGCAACGGCGGCTTAGAACCCCGGAGGCCAGAGGCGCCTTTAGGAGGATATGCAATCAAAAATCAAATTGAATATGAAACTCGTGAGTTCAGGAACTTCTCCTGGAGAGCCAAGTTGGAGAGTCTGGACCCTCGCGACAATACTCTATGGAGAATGACAAAAAGGTTAAAAAATAAATTCACACCCATACCTACCCTGGAGTATGGTCGCAAGGAAATATCGAAAATAGATAAAAGGCCAACAGGTGCGGTCCAGGAGGACATGGTGGCAACAGCAGAGCAGATAAGATCATCGCCGGACATTCTGCTCCCGCGACAAGCCCCGGGGAAAAGCATTACATCGTCGAAAGAAATCAGTGAAATCATTAGATACTTGAATATCAACGAAGCCCCAGGGCTTGATGGACTTGACATGGTTCTCCTAAAAAACATGTCGTGCAAAGCAATAGTACAATTGCATTATATTATAAACGCAATCATCAAATGCCAGCACTACCCGGAATGCCTTAAGACTGGGCTTGGTGTACCAATCCCAAAACAGGGCAAGAACCTTAATTCCACCAATGGGTAATGCCCCATATCACTGCTTAGCGCCGTGGCCAAGTTCGTGGATATAGTCCTCTTACGACTCATAACACACCACACTGGAAAGCTGAACCTCATACCTAAGGAACAATTCGGGTTCCGCAAGGGGCACAGCACAATTTCTCAAGTGCCCCGAATTGTTCACGAGGTTAAAGAGGCCAGCAGTAACAACAACAAGAACACTGTCATGGTCATGATGGACGTAGAAAAGGCATTCGACTTCGTCTGGCACGAGGGTCTAATGTCCAAACTGCATAAGGCTAGAATGGCGATTTTCATCATCGAAATTATCGATGCATATATCACCAATAGGAAAGTGCGGGTCAAGGTCAACAAAAGTATAGCGGAAGATTTTCCACTCGAGGCAGGTGTTCCGCAAGGGTCGTGCCTCTCACCTCTGTTGTATCCCTTTACACGCATGATTTCCCTGTATTCGAGCGGACGAGTACAGCATTGTACGCCGACGGCACGGCAACATATGCTCGGACGACTCGAATGTTGCGAGGATTCAAATCCAAATTCATCTGAACAGGGGAATCATACCGTACTTTGACGAGTCAAAGATCCGCATCAACAGTGCGAAGACCGAAGTAATCAATTTACATAAAAAATTCAACAACTCCACGTTGAGCAGACCATTGATCGTCAAAGGGGTTGAGGTGGAAGACATGATCACCATTAAATACCAAGGAGTCAAGTTGTACACTCGTATGAGTCTCAGGCCAAACACCAACTAGATACCTAATTCAAAAAACGCAATCTGCTATTAAGAAGATGTATCCCTTTTTATCCAGGACCTCCCCTCTTTTGTTAGAGGACAAGGTCCTGGTGTACAAGCAGATCATCAGGCCTGTGATAACGTACGCGTGTCCAGTGTACTGCAGCATCCCACCTTCTCATATGAATAGGTTGCAGGTGCTGCAGAACAAAGTACTTCGTATTATCACCAACGGTGATAGATACTCTCGACTGGCATATCTCCACGAGAGATGCGGTAATTAGCCTAGAATTAGCGAATATATATCTTGAAAATATCGATTGAATTCTACAAATACTACATCGCTGGAAGTGACCTTACCCGGGATATCACCACACTAAGACAACACCACAACATCCATAAAAAACGCAGGGCCGGATTATCCATAAGGCGGACTAGGCAACTGCCTAGGGGCCCCGCACCGACTATGGACCCCGTGCACGAACAAAAAAAAAACGTTTAATGGTACGAGTTTTTCTTGAAAATGTAACTAGTAGTAGTAGTTGTTTTAATCTTCCCCTGAAGATGCTAACATAGTTAGCGAAACACGTGTGGAGGCGTTAAAAATCGGTTTGGTTAGTGGTGTAGTGTATTATCGTGCCAAAGTTCCAGTCTTCGATATATCAGTTTTATTATGTAGTTTGTGTCGGCGAGATATAAGCAAATCATTAGATCAGTTTGATAGCAATGAAAAGGATGTTGTCGCATTCAGCTTCACTTTGTTTAGTAACGTATATTCATGAATTATTTGTCACCCAACCAAAATCTAAATAGCAAATTATTGAAAAATTTTGACAATGCTCACCAAAATGGTACGTCACACCGACGTGATTCTTAGACGTCATAGATACGTCACTGCAACATCATGAAAGTGACGGTTTCAAAATAGGTACACTTAATATATTATCATTTGCATATATACATATATAGCTTGATTGATTTTCGAGATATACAGGGTGTCAAACAGTTTTCTCTCACTTTTTTGGGTATATATAATTACAATAAAACTTTTATGTTAATTCCTTTTGATGACGTTAGAAGCATATATATAAAATTACCAAGACGTACATGCTGCTATATACAGGATGAGTCATTGAAATGGGAAAGTGAGATAACGCCTTTGCTGTTTGAGATAGATGAATAAAAATTGTTGTGATGATATAGGCTCATGAGCAGCACATTTCCAAAATATTTCGCTTTATACAGGGTGACTTGAAAATGCGTGACGTATAAAAGTTATACTTTTTCTTATGGGATACCCTGTATTTCATTGCATTTTCGGATTCTCCTTTGTGAGCTGATTTCATCAATGCATCACACTTGGGTCTAACAAGAATGATTACAGAGATATAGGGTGTGCAAAATCGAGATATTTCAACTTTAGGATTTTTTTGGGTCAAAACTATTCATTATTGGTCAAAACGGCATACATGTCCCTATCTTAACTCTTGATTTACTATCTACTGATATTTAATTTGAAGGAATACAGGGTGGTTCATAATTCTGAATTTTGAACTACCCTGTATTCGTCAAAATTAAATATCAGTAGCTGGTGAATCCAAAGTAAATATAGGAACATGTGAGCCGTTCTGACCAATAATTGATAGTTTCAACACGAAAAAATCCTAAACTTGAAAAATCTCGATTTTGAACACCCTATATCTCTGTAATCATTTCCGCTCGATTCCAAGTGTGATACATTGATGAATTCAGCTCAAAAAGGAGAAACCGGAAATGTAATAAAATACAGGGTGTCCTATAATAAAAAGTATAACTTTCATACGCCACGCATATTCGAGTCACCCTGTATACGCAAAGTAATTTAGAAATATGCTTCTCATGAGCCTAGACCATCACAAAAATTTTTATTCATCTATGTCAAACAGCGAAGTCGTTATCTCACTTTCCCATTTCAATGGCTCACCCGGTATGTGTGTGAAATTAATGAAGAAACGATTTTTTCTGAAAACTTTTAGACACTGAATTTTCCCATCCTGTATATATAGGTACGTCACCAACCTAACTGTTTCACAAGATAATGTAAGTATACATGGTTTAGAAAACATGAACGTCGACAGAACGTTCCTGCAACGTCATGAAACTCTTATTTTAAGCTTCTAAGTGACGTTCACTCGACGTCTAGATGATGACGTGATTTTCACGTCATAGAAAGTACGTCATAGTGACGCCATAAATTGGTGTGTGACGTCTCTGACCAAAAATCACCACTTAGGATGAGAATCAAGAGTTGTTGGAAAATGAGATATAGCGGTCTAAATGTTAGGTTATGTTGGTAGGCCTGAGTAGGCCAAACTAGCATCTTCTACCGTGGGCCAAGATCACGAAAAAATGTGTCTCCCCAATAAGACATAATTGAAAATGTGCCAGTTACATGTCAAACTTCCTATAGTTTCAATGGTAATAAACATCTCATTTCTAATTATCATTTCAGGATTTCGATCATTTCATCGATAGGGGTTTCTACTACAATGAGAAAAAAGATGTGTTGTCGGCTCACCTGTTCGCTTTGGACATGGCGAAGTGGAGAGACATGCGTGTCAAATTGACACCTACATTCACTTCCGGGAAAATCAAAATGATGTTTCCCATGATGCTGGAAGTCAGCAACTATATGACGGAAGCCATCGATAAGTGCATAGACGAACGTCGAGATATCGACATCAGAGAAGTATGAGTCATCATCAACTAAGTATGATAAAAATAGTATATTGTTTAACGAAAACGGAATGATAGTTATTTCTGCAGCCAATCATAGTGGTAAATTAGCATTCCGTACGAGTTATACACTATACTTTTTCTATGGCTGTAACAGATATCAGCGACATTTTCAATTTTTTCGGTTTGTAGTAATCTGATTTTTCCTTAAGTAGGTAATCCTCGTCTGAGTTATTCATTAGACAGAGCTGTCATATTGCTTGAAGTTTGAAAATCTCGTGAGATATGAGATTCAAGTAGTGAAATAAAAATACAATGAAGTCATTTTGATGATGCAATCATTTGAGTGGTAAATTAGCATTCCGTGCGAGCAATACACTATAATTTTTCCACGGCTCTAACAGATAACAACGACATTTTAGATTTCTTCTTTATCCATTTGACTTTGCTTGAAATTTGACATTCATGGGCGATGAGTTTTTTTGAAATAATAACACAATGGAGTGTGGTATCAGATACGGAAATGAAATTGATGACATACAACTTACCTCATTGATGTATCGATCACAGTGAAACAAAAGCAATTTTGTGTTATAGCCGTAGAAAAATATTGTTGTGGTATTATTTTATTTGTTAAGATGATCACATTCCTTCTGATTTCACCAATAGAAATATTCTAGAGTCAGTTCCTGATGAACATGAAATCTCATCCAGACTAAAGAATTTATACGCCCCGCCTCGCAAATGCAAAATTCGCTTGTCGAACAAAGTGTCACTTTCGATCCGAATAAAACAATCTACTATTCTTCAACACTGTATAGGTATCTTGAAAATGAACGACAATTCTTTACTGAAGTAACCCAACTTATTTTGCAGAGTTCTGCCTACCCTAACAAGTGAGTCAAGTTTTCCTGAAACACCCTGTATTACTCACAGAGTCTTCAGAAAAACGAAAACATCATTATCAATAACAATTTCATATTTTTATTTCGGAAACGGAAGCAGTTGCTTTCCCAAAACGTTCACAAACAAGTGAAATATTTTTCAATATTCAATATCGTTCTTCAAACATTTTTCGCAAAAGGTGTCAAATCAGATCGAAATGGCGGAGTAATAGGGTGAACCATTTGGAAAATAAAAAAAATGTACTACTTTCTGGGGAAAAGAATAATCAGCCCTTTTGTTAATATTCATCAAGGATCCCTCTGTATTGAATTTTTCATCCAAATCGGTTTATAACTACAGGGGATATTCTTCTATAGTTTTTAGCACGGTTCACCACCGATGTTATTGGCGCCTGTGCATTTGGAATCGATTGCAATAGCTTCAAGAATCCTGATGCAGAATTCAGAGAAATGGGACAAAAAATTTTCGAAGTAAGGAATGTATATCATTTGTTCAAATTGATGCTGATTGCTAATGCGCCTGAACTGGCTCTAAAACTGGGTGAGTATTTAGATGAATTACAAGATTATAACAAGAACATGAACAATAGATGCAGTGGCATAACTATACCGTTCGAGGCCCGTGGCAAATTAATCGGATGATTCCCCTCCTATAAAAAGGAAGATGAACCAACAATAATATAGTATTTTTTATCTCATAATACTTATTTATACACTCTTACTTGTTAAAGGTTCAATGCATAAAATAATAATAGTGCAAACAACATGCGAAAATAATTGTTCTAAACAATAAAGATAGGATCTAAAGGGGATTTCATCTAAAAAATATGACTACTAAATTTAAGAAGAACACCAATTTCTACCCTTTTTCCCTTGGTTCTCACGATGTTCTCTGAACATTACAAGATATCCCTTTTCGTTGGAACCAGAATATAAAAAGAAAACACTGCACACACTGAAATTTGGAAATGAAATCGTAGAATCGAAGACGAAGATGAAGAGGTTTTCGATTGAGATTCGCCAACCCCCAGTTGGCATCAACATCATGAATGATTGCAGCAAGCTATATCTGGCCGAACGTATAAATAATCAGTTTGGGATTCGTATAGCGCATGCGCTCCTCAGCAAATTGAATAGGATACCAATTAGTGCTAAGTTGTTTTATATTTAGCACAGCATGATTAATAAGTAAGAAATCGATGACAATCCTAGACCAGATAGACAATCTATTCAATCCTAATTGGTGCGTTCTTGCAAAGTCAATCTGTTACAGTATATGGATTCCAATTTGTTTCGGAAGGAATAGTCTTATTGGAACTAATTTATGCAAGTGAATTTTTAGATACAAATCGATAACGTGCCAGTCTAGGAAAAAAACTTGACGAAATGACTCTATGTGTATTTGTTCGCTCATAGTTTCAGGGCAAATAATTATTCATCTGGAATAGCATGAAATCTAATGAGTCCAATGCATATGGTTTCAGGAAAGAATTTGATTTGGTTGATTTCTTTCAGTGATGAGTCAGACCTGAAATTTACGTCTTTAAGATGTAAATTCATGTACGTCTTAAAGACGTATACGAATATACGTCTTTAAGACGTATTTTATGAGTCGTAAGACGTGGAGACGTAGGTAAGACGTAAAATATACGTCTGTGCTGATTGGGAAAACATATAGTTAGCAAAACACGTGTCGATGCGATTAAAAAATCGCTTTGGTCGAATTTGAACCTTGACAAAGTCAACTTGTAGGGAAGGAAAAGTGGTCATGATAAACTGTCATATTTATTTAGATAATTATTTGGAAGTTTCAAAAACCGTATTTTTTAGGCATGAAATTGCACAACTTTGCCTTAATTTAACTGATTCTATATTTCAGGGTTTACGAGATATCTATGATGAGACTCGAATACTCGAATTTCACTGTAGGGATTCATCAAGCCAAGTAGCTTGTTTTTTTTTATATTCGACTCGACTTCAAAACTTATGCTTTTGAAAATTGGATATTTAACTTGACTTGATTTACGGACTGAACTACTTGACTTGATATATAGTTGAAGGCGGGTTCAGCCAGCTCATAATGCATAATGGATAATTCATAGTGTGTAATGCATAATTTTAAAACTTAAGTTTCATATGTGCCCGTTTGAACACCTCGCAGTGCACAACTCGTAATATATTGCATAATGCACAATTCACAAAGTTAACCAACTTTTATCTTTTATCTTTCATGCATTATGCACTAACTGCACTATATGCAAATTACTCTTGTGCGCATGCGTCTGTCAAAAATGTCAACTTGTTACAGCGAAGAGTGGGAGTAACTTTTATCACTTCCAATAGTTGCAAATTATTAATTGTTAAAAAAACTCAAAAATGGGAAAATCACACACAAACAACTCAAAGGGAGGTTATCAACTCTTGCCGAATCTGTCACTTCTGTCATGAGAATTATGCATTGTATAAACACTCCTTCCTGTTGTGCACTACGAATTATGAATTATGTATTATACTTTGTTACATGCTATTTTCTCATAAGGTGTACCGCCTACTTTTCTTGGTCCACCCCATTAGTTCATACCCATGAAATCTTGTCGACCCTTAAACTATAATATAAATATTCAAATTCAGTAAAATTGTATCTAGTCTCCCACACTAATTGTTAGCGTTGGCTCCCGTACTATATCTTTATTCTCTTCGCACTGCTTGGAGTACAATCACAGTTGAGAGAATGTAATATTCTCTCAACTGTGGTACAATCTTCGCGCTTTGGTCTTTCTTTGTTATACCAAATACCCATGTATCGGACGAAGACTGAGCACTATTAGTACGTCTCATATATATAGTACCATTTTCTTGTGCTACGTCAGTACCGTTGATTGAGGTATTTCAGTACCTCTCAGTACTGCCAATCTAATTTCAAATATTATTCAAACGATGAAGATGTTTTTATGAATAAGTTTCATCAATCCAAATATTCCCGATATTTGTAATGAAGATGGCAATTTCGAAGATCATTCTAGAAGGCTTCAGTGCCAAAATTTTCTATGATGAAGTGTCACGTTTCTTTTTCGAAATTTCGCCCATTTTGAGGATTTTGGGGACAAAATATGGTTGTCTCCACACTATAGTTACACCATTTGGTTGTGCTCTGTTTTGGCGTGAATCGTAGAAGTTGTTGTCGCTCAATGCGGCTTTTGCACTGAAACCTTCCATGAATCATCACATTGCATAGACACCTCGTTACACCACGTCTGGAAAGAATCACCCTTCAGATTTTAGAAGATTGGATTCCACATAATTAGTTGAATAGGAAACCCTCAAATATTCGGAGGGTCCTCGTAATAGGAGAACTAGTCCCATATGTGGATTTATCGCTGAAGATATTTTGATTCACCATCTATCGAAGTCCATTGAAGCCCATAATAAGTTGATAGTATTGGAAGGTGGTATTATGGATGCTGTATTTAGCAAAAAGAGAGATGCTTGTTAGCAGCTGACACCTGGTCAGAGGATATTTGTCCAATTTTTTTTTATCAAGACCGATCACTGGGGAGCCGAACTGAACCAACAACAAAGTTGAGAATAGTTTACCTAATATAGGTTTATGTAATACAACGCCTTTAGGGGTTGACTCCAAAGTTGAATACCTAATTATATATAAAACATTTCTTGTGAACCGCATATACAGGGTGAGTCATTAGTGTGGCAAAGTGAGATAACGGCTCAACTGTTTGAGATGGATGAACGGAAAATTCAGAGAAGATCTAGGATCATGAGCAGCACATGTCCAAATTATTTCGGTTTATACAGGGTGACTCAGAAATGCGTGACGTATCAAATTTATACTTTTTCTTATGGGACACCCTGTATTGCATTGCATTTTCTCATTCTCATTTGTGAGCTGATTTCATCAATACATGACACTTGAGGTCTAGAGAGAATGATTACAGAGATATAGGGTGTTCAAAATCGAGATATTTCAACTTAGGATTTTTTTGCGTCGAAACTATTCATTATTGGTCAAAACGGCTCTTATGTCCCTATCTCAACTTTTGATTCACTATCTACTGACATTTAATTGGAACAAATACAGGGTGGTTCAAGATTCAGCATTCTGATCACCCTTGTATCTGTTCCAATCAAATGTCAGTGGATAGTGAATCAGGAGTTGAGATAGGGACATGAAAGCCGTTTTGACCAATAATGAATAGGTACGACGCAAAAAAAATCGTAAAGTAAAAATATCTCGATTTTGAACACCCCACATCTCTCTAATCATTCTGGCTAAACTCCAAGTGTGATGCATTGATGAAATCAGCTCACAAAGGAGAATACGAAAATGCAATGAAATGCAGGGTGTCCCATAAGAAAAAGTATGACTCTGATACGCCACGCATTTCTGAGTCATCCTGTATAAAGCGAAATAATTTGGAAATGTGCTGCTCATGATCCTAGATCATCTCTGAAATTTTTGTTCATCTTTCTCAAACAGTAAAGCCGTTATCTCACTTTGCCACACTAATGACTCACCCTGTATATATGGAGGGGGTTATTTGAATCATATACTTTCTTGTTCTCGCAATTGACGCAATTCAAACATTACTTCAATTCTCAGAGACGAAATTTAGTCAGGATTGTCGATATTTAAAATATAAGATTATCGATAATAATAAATTATTATGCTCCATAATAATTATTAATTACTAATAAATTATTATTATTAAATTATTGAAATCTGGTATCTATATGTCATATTCATCAGCATTATCGTCCCGTTTTGATAAATTTTCTTGGTAACACAGCTAGAGTGAGAGTAGAATTGAAACGGGAAGCGCCCTATTCCCTATTATTTTCTATATATTTAATTTTTTTGTGCTTATTATGGTTGTGTGCCCACACCATCTCTACTGAGCGAACCGGCTATCACTCTGGCCAAGAATTAGGTACCTCATTTGATCTCTCAATTACACTTTCTTCATAAATATTTGAGAATTTGAGTGATATATTTAATGTAATTTTATTGAAAAACACCTGTTACAGCATTACACACTATGGCGAGTTATCCACTATGCATTATGAGCTGGCTAAACCCGCCTTCAATCAAACTACGAATGTATTTGTCTGTCTTTTTTGAAAAAAGTGTTCGAATCATTCATAATCAAGCAACCCCTCTATATAAACTATCTTTGGCAATATGTTGAAGAACTTCTTCATGACGGGGTGTTGGATAATGAATGATGAATGTAACTAAAGTTCTATACTGTTTTGAATAAGATGTGGGGATAAGCCGAGGAGATATAGAAGGTTTCTTCCGAAAAATACTAGGCCAAACTATGAAGTATCGAGAGGAAAACAACGTCAACAGACCGGACTTCTTACAACTTCTTATAAACTTGATGAACAGTACCAAAGACACAGAAACACCGTTCACTTTTGAGCAATTGGTGAGTATGATTATAGGGTGGTACTCAGGTGAAACATACAATGTGTCCAATAAGTCAAGGTATGGGCGTTGCCAAGATTACATTCAGGGGGAGGGGATCAATAAGGCATTTTCTGAAAAAGTGGAACAAATTTAGTTCCCATATCAAACGTTTATTCGAAATGTAATGGAATAAATCTGCATAGAGAAAGAAATAGATGACACACCCTAAAATGACACACTTCAAAAATGCAATTACATTAAAATGAGCCAGCGGAGAGAATTTTTTCAATATTCCTTTCAATATAATATTTTTCTCGAGAACTGTCTTTCTATGCACATTCAACATGCAAAGTTGACTTTCGGTCATGGTCAATGGTCATATTATTATTCTATTCGATTTGAGATTGTTTTTTATTTCTCATTTTTAACTAAGGCTTTATACGAGCTTTTGATTGTATATTTTGAAATGTATTTTAGAAAGCTTCACATTTTGAACTGCATATTGTTTATTATATTTCATTTAAATATGTATATGTACGAGCTTTGTCAACAAATACGAATGTATTTATGGCAATAAAGCATATATTGAATTGAATTGAATTGAATTGAGAGATAATGTCAATTCTCAATTTCAGAGAATTTTGATTCTTCTTGCTCTCTTTCTGGATATTCAACAGATATAATTCTATAATCCAATGTTCGACGTGGCAAGTTGCCAGGAAAGTAATGGTTTTTTGTTGAATATTCAGAATGATATATTATATGCATATCTTTATAAGAAGGAGAATGCAAATTCTCTACTTCAGATGCTTTTGTTTTCAAATTCTTATCGTGTGTGTTCGATAGATGATGGACAGATGTAATTCAATATTCGTCGTGGCATCTAGCCAGGAAAGTAGTTGTTTCCCGTCCTCACTTCTTGCCCTCACAACTTCCCGCCCTCACGTATATGTAATATTTTAAGTATGTTCAAATTGATATACAATAGGCGTTTTCGGAAACTTACTCGGGTTGTTCGGATCCCTAACCTGAACGTTCGGTTACCCAAACCGAGATGCCTACCTCTGTTCGGAAACTTGAATGATGCTAATCACTGACTCGGGTTGATTTTTCGTGACCCTACTCGAAAGCAGGGTCGCCAGAGTTGCAAAGGACACCGCATGCGCATTATGGAATTTGAGTCAATCAAAAAACGCGGGAGATTACATTCGACGAAAACAATAATAATAACATAATTTGCATGTTGGGAAAAATCAAATCCGGTGATATACATGTTTCTTTCAATCTTCATAATTTGATTAAAGTAATTCATTGAGAAGAGAATTTGGGTAGGGGTGAATTTTGTGGTTATGTGCAACAACACATATGAGACAAGTACACCAATCCACAGGTAAATATAAATATTTGTAATCAGATCAAATGATTATTCGAATATATGTGACCATTTTCGTCTGTCAAATTCATGAAACCACAGGAAAAATATAATATTCAGTGTTTCTAACTTGACACGTTCGTAAACGTTGAACACGAGTAGATGATCCGAGTTTTTGGTCACGTGACCTATCTGGATCGAGTTTTCAACCCAGAGTAAGTTTCCGAAAACGCCTATAATGTTCTTAAACTATGTCTGAATTGGATAACCAAAATATTTAGCATGGATGAAACCCGATTACCTAAGATTTGTCTCAGAAGACAATTCACACTTGATAACTGTGATGAAAAGTTTGACTGGACACTGCAACTGAAAAGTCTCCTCATCTCTCTGAACTTACCTGAAATATGATCTCAAATTGAACGTAGCTCCATAGAGCCAAGAAAAAAATGATAATGCTCAAATTTCAGGAAAAGCTATTTCAAGATGTTTCACTTTCAAGCCATGCAGCGCTTCTTTCTCTTCATTGCTTCCTTAGAATAACCAGAACGAACCAAGATTTTCCAATCCTCAATTCACCTATTCAAGTCAAGAGAACCATTGCACAACTCCGTCTCTGTAATAAATACATTATTAATTTCACACTGAACGGCTCTACATATATTTATTCATTTATTTATTTATTTAAACATAATACATCCAACAGGCCGGAGCCCAATTACAGGAGTGTATAAAAATAATAGTCATAATGAGAATAATAATTACAATGAACCAATGTAGGTGAACAAATGAAAATATAAAAAAATATGTCTACAGACGGCACATTATTTAGGCTTCTACACAACATAGATGTGATTGGACTATTGAGGTGATGTGAATTTGGAACATCGATTCGGAAAGTCAGGTTTGATCTTGAAGAGATACGGGGTATGTTGAAACTCAGTGTGGATAAAAGGGACGCCGAATCTATTTGATTATTTATTAGCAAATATCATGTCTGCTATTTCACGTCGTTTTTTGAAGCAAACGAATGCAAATTCTTCTAGTAGCAAATCATAATCGCAGTGACGTTCAGGATAAATATTATATTTTTTTGAAAAACAAAATTTTGAGAAATGTTTGTTGTACTGTTTCCAATGCTTGTATGTGTTTAACTTGGCTTGGGTTCCATACCGCACTGCAGTATTCAAGCTTGCTACGTACAGGGTATCCCACATAACTTGGGCCACCCCCTTATCTGATAAACTATTATATATACAGAAAAAAGTTCAGAATAAAAATTGTATAACTTCTCATGAAATTTAATTTTTAGATACTGTCATTTATACAGGATGATCCATATGTCTGTGACATATCACAAATACGTTTTTTCAAATGGAACACCCTATATTTTATCATATTTTTAGATAGTCCTTCAGAAGACGAGTTCAATGATATATAATAACATGGGTCTGAGATCACCCGTTTTGGATTTATACACGATCTTCTTCAATAAATTGTCTAATTTCAAAGCCCCATAGAAACGTTGTGAATGAAGTTTTCGATTCGCAACTTTTGCTATAAATTAAAAAAGTCTGTATATTATCATGTTCTGTGGTGAAAATTTAGGAATTTTGAATTTGCCAAAAGTGATGACGTATTTTGAAAACCAATAATTATCTCGAGATTTTCAAATGGAACACCCTATATTTTATTCCATATTTGCATAGAACTCAGAAAGACGAGTTCAATGATCTATAATAACATGGGTCTAAGATCACCCGTTTCGGACTTATACACGATCTTCGGTCAAAACTACATTTCCTCTAGTTCTCTTATTCGGTTTGAGAATACCTTTTGTTCGGATATCGTTCTCTATTCTCTGAAATATATTTTTTGTTTGGTACGACACTTTGTGGAAAACGGTCACGATATTCTCTCAAAGCCAGCACAGTATTTCTGTTTTTTAATAAATAGCACTCATAAAGATCAAATCTCTCTTCTTTAGAATAAATATGCATTTTGAAAGAGTTTCTCTGCACCAATTCAACAATAAATAATCGGGTTTGACAGTTATTGATATGACATAAACAAAAATCCCATCTATGAGTGCACAGCCTACTCAGCTCACGTTGGCATGTCATTCCACTTTGAGTTTTGGTTTTCTCTTCGATCATTTACTTATGTCCAGTGTTTATTCATTGAGAATTCAATGAAAAATGTTGAACAGTATGAACGATATACGATTTTTATGAGGAAATGACATTTATTGCAATGAATGCATCCGAATTGATAAGGCAGACAATCAAAAAAAATGTTCAAATACATTTTATTAATTGAATATTCCCGCATTGGTCTCGTATAGAGTCAAATGTAGGTGAAATTTAATTGTAATAACCTGTGCTCAATCATTTCCAAAATGTTTTCTAGTAAAATAATAGTATAACATTACATAAAAATTTCGATAATATTCGTTTATTTCAAAACTCTTTATTACGAATTGTTTCACAGAAATTACAAAATTTTTATCTAATATGAAGATAACAGTCAGGATTTTGCCATTGAAATTTGATTATTTTTTCAAGAAGATCGTGTATGAGTCCGAAACAGGTGATCTCAGACCCATATTATAATACATCATTGAACTCGTCATTCTGAGCTTCATCCAAAGATGGAATGAAATAGGGTGGTGTTCATCAAAAATTTGTAAAAAATTATCGTTTTTCAAAATACATCATCACTTTTGGCCAATGCGAAATTCATAAACTTTTACCATGGATCAACAAAACATACAAAATTTGTTAATTTATAGCGGGAACTGCGAATCGAAAACTTCATTCACAACGTTTCTATAGGGCTTTGAAATTGGGCAATATATATATATTATATATATATAGATATGTTTTCGATACAAGACGAGATCATTTGGTGATATAAGCTGAACAAGTGGAGATCCGTTTTGACAAGCCGAGATCCGAAACGGATCTCGACTTGTTTCTATGTGTATATCATCTTAGTTACGTTATCCTAGGTCATAGGAGGGGATACACAAATTTTAGTACGGATCTCCATTTGACCATTTTTATCAATTTTCATACACTCGTAGTTCTACCTACCGCTCTGAAGGGGGCGCTGCGCTGTGCGCCTTGTATATGATATTTACTCGACAATATGAGATCCAGTATATTTGGCAACGTCGCATCAGAGATCTCTCAACTGGGTCAGTGTTGTATTATGAATTTGATCTTCATTTTGTTAGTCTATTTCAGCGGCAAATTCAATATTTTCAGAATGTGTTCCTTATGTTGGTATATTAATTCACATGTTACCTTTATTCCGAATCTGATGATAATCACGTACGAGTACATCGGAGGCAATATATTATTTATTGAGCTCTTCGTCTTTCAATTACAACCTGGTTGTAAAAGTTGAAGAGTACAGTATATTGTTTAACTATCACGGAATATCGTCATTTCCCACGAGAATGAAGTTTGCAGCATGCGCCTTAGGCGAATTCTACAATCATTCGAGGGGGAAATCAGCATTCCGTGCGAGTTATGCACTATAATTTTTCTACGGCTGTAACAGGCAACAGCGACAGTTTGGATTTCTTCGTCTTGTAGTCATCTGATTTTCTCTCAAGTAATGCTTCATCTATCAGACAGAGC